CAAAACCACCCAAGAAACCTCAAGGACGACCAAGGAAAAAACAGAAAACAATGGATGAAGAGAACCCTATCACTCAGCCAATACAATCTTCTCTTCAAAGTTAATGCTTGACAAGTCTTTACTTTAGAATATCTTATCCCTCTGAAACGATTGTTTTTTTTTTGACAAATATTGTTGTGTTGCAACAGCTTCGATAGTTATGTTGGTTGGATTTATTTAAGCATGACTCTTTGGATTATTTTAAGTTGTTGTGTCTTTCTTTCAGCTTCTAAAATCCAAACTAATTAAGCAATTCAAAATCATTTAGAACGTTTTTTTGTAATAAATTCAAAACAGTTTTAAAGAACATCATGTGGTTTTTGCGCTAAATACAAATGTCTCGTTGTTTTTTTTTTTAGAAATTAATATCCCATTAATATTTAATTATTGTGGGGTTAAGTTTATTAACAGGTCTTAGTTCAGGGTTTGTTTTACTAAAAACATAGTTTAGGGTTTAAAAATGGAACTGGCCAAAGTTGAGAGTTTTTTCCATTAAATTCCCATAAAAGAATGTCACCTAAATAGAAATATATGCTACATTTCATACTCATTCTCGGAAAGGATATAAAGTATGTTAGGTTTGACTTTGAAATTATAAACACTTGTATATTTCTTCTTTTGAATTTATAAATACTTGTATTTGAATATTTCTCCACGAGTTAGAACGTTTCGGTTTAACGATTCTAAAGAATAGTATGATTATCAAAACCTTGTTAATCCAAAATTATACTCAACAAAAGACTCTTGAATATTTAACTAAAAAAATCGAAAGACATAAACAGTTTTTCATTTGGTCTTTGTATGATATGTTTAGTATTATAACTTGTTTAGCTCCAAAAAAAATAAAAATTAGTAATTATAATTTGGAATGGGCCATACCAAACAAGCTAATTAGACGAAACAAAGCTTGCACGAAATGTGGTTCTAAACATAGTGTGGATAAGGCTTAACTATGCATTTTTAAGTGTTACAAAAACTAAAAGTTCTTTTTTATGAACCCAAAAATAAGTGAAGTGCCGTTCGCATGAACTTCTCTCGAGATAGCTTCTAACTAGTTCTTCCATTGTAATATTGTTTCACGTAATGGACATATCAAATTAATAAGGATTATATTTATATATGGAGTACGTATGATTTGTATATAATGTGTAGCTGAGTTCTTCTTCTAGATAGCTTTTTTTTGTTTGGTTTGGTATGGACCGTATGGTCAAGTCAAAAGGCTAAGGAACATGTCAAGAGCATTGAGATTCAAATATACAGTAGAGGTCAAGTTTGATATTGGGCCAGATTTAGAATCTTGGCATAACTAATAGGCCCAAATTTGCAGTTCAAGCTGAGTAGTGTTCTCTAATAATACCATTTGCATTCTATGGTTAATAATTAGAGCAACTCCAGCGTATAGAATTCATGTAGTTTCTAAAAAAGCAAAAAGTATTAATATTTTACTTTTACATCCAAAAAACCAACGTATATGAGTAATAGAAACGATTCTAATATTAGGAATTTTAGAGATTCTCTCTCATCTGTTTCTTAACTTTTCAATAAACTATTGCTGGAGTTGGTCTTAAGGGTGGCTAAATATCCGTAATCCGATTAATTAACTCGATTATAAACAACTAATCGGTAGTTGAGTTCGAGATCCTTGAGCCACATTAAACTTGATTTGGTTCAAGGTTCAAGATTTCATATTTTTTTCGTATTTGTATAGATTCTTGGAATAATAAATGAACTTTTAGCTTCAAAATCTCAGTCTCTTTCCATGAATCTTCTAATGTTTTTTACCAAATCTTTGAACAAAATCTATACAAATTACCAATATCACCCTTCACTCTTCTCCAACGTAGTAGATCCTCTCCTCTCCCCCTCTTTCCTCCTCCCTCCACCGCAGCAACACAACCAGCTAAAACAACCGGAACAACAACAACTACTCCGGCAACACTCGGTGTCGGGGCATTTTAGACATTTCCAACAAGAGCATTTCGGACATTTTGGCTTCCCAAAGCAGCTGCTGCATTTGAACGTGGGACAGCAACAACTACTAACACAGCTCGGTTTCTTGCAGCAAGAGAAACATCCCTTCAAAGTCGGACACGAACACTTGAAACAACCGCAGTCGCCACAACCGCAGCCGCAACTGCAACTAGGTTTGGGACACCGAGGTTTGGGACAACTGCAGCTAGGTCTGCACAGTCCGGAACAACAACATCCTGTGGATTCATCTCGCCGACGGATTTCTTGCCAAATCGTTTTGAGACGAGACTTAGTGGTTGTATTTTCCATGTCTTGTATAAACCGGTATAGGTGTCTAATGTAGTCCGGATATATCTCAAGGTTGCAATGTCCACCGCCTTTAATCCAGAGCGGTTCATACGGTTCCTTTGCCATTTTCCAAAGC